GGAGGGGGGGGGGCGTGGAATGTAGTCCAACAAGAGAGAACTGGGCAAGGCTGACAATACTGCTTGGGATTTAATTTGAGCAGAGGCAATCAGAGAAAGGGCCCGATCTCTTTGAGAGATGGACCATTTGACACACCCCAGTGCACTATTTATTGTGTTCACTTGCACTACAGTGTTTAGTTTTTGTGCACCCAGCATGGGCAAAAAAAATTTCTTATTGCTTACACATCTGCAGAAATTTCCATGTGGGTATGAAGAGGAAAGCTAGCAAAAAAAAAAAGTAAGTGTCTGTTTTCATACACATCAACTGCGTATGCCTGCTTCACGTACACTTGGTGTACATTGCTGGCATATGTTTTGTTTTTTTAATACCTTCACAAAATGTGGAAATGGGCTTTCATCAAGCTTCACATAGGGCCAAAGTTTACTTAAAGGAGAACTATGGGGTGAGTGTTTTTCCCCATAGTTCTCCGGGTAACGGGAGGACACAAACTAGCGTCCTCCCGTCACCCTAAGCTCAGTATATAGGGAGCTACAGCTCGCGGTTTACTGAGATGCCGCAGCCGGAGCGGATCCCGACCTGGACGTCGAGATCCGCCCAGCTGCGTGAGTGACGGTCAGCGCTGGAGGATCGGAGGGGAGAATCCAGCCCCTCCCCCTGTCACGGCAGAGAGCCGTGACAGGATCGAGAGGTGAGCGAACCCGGTATGTGTTCGCTCACCTCCCGATCTACTGAGCCGACCTGTGACAGTCTCATTGTCACAGGTCGGCTACAACTAGCACCCCCCTCATAGTTCTCCTTTAAGCCAGCCAGTTTAAAGGGACAGAGCTTCAATTATGAACTGAGTTTAACCTCCCTGTACTGGAGCCAAAGGTACTTTATTGGATTTTACAACGCTGCTTGAAGCTCGCTGTACACGCTGCTATTATACAAGCTGAACCCAATGAACAAAGCCTTATAAGGGTTCATTAACATATTTTAATTTAGTAACTGATCAGTGAAAAAACAAATTATGTACTTTTAGCATACAATTTTTGATTGGAAGCAGTAGAGTACATCTGCACAGCGACAGGGTCCAGGGCCCCTTCTTTTGCACCCTTCTAGTCTTACAGAAGCTTATCAAGTGACATTTGTAGACACATGTCCTGCCCACTCCTGCTTCTGATCTCACGGGATTGCACTGCCGGTGTCACTAGGGGATGGAGTCTAGGAACAATACTGGAGACCTGACTTACAAAAATATATTCATAATATGAAGTTCAGAGATGGGAGACAAAAACAGTGCAAGGTCTAAAATCCATTCAAATACCTTAAAGTGACATTAAACCCTCAGATCTTTTAACATAAACCAATACTGTAATGTGCGCCTTAATGTAATCCATGGTTGTTTCCCTTCTCTTTGCTGCTCTTCCTTTTAAATCCGTATCTCTTCTCATGCTGGGCAGAACTTCCCTTTGCAGCTGGCTGCCTCTTCCTGTAGTGCTGGCTCAGATTGTGAACCTTCACACAGACACCATGTATCCATTCCAGAGACAAGGCAGTCTGCTGCAAAACAGAAGTTCTCCCCAAGCATGAGAAGAGAGAAGGATTTAAAAGGAAGAGCAGCAAAGAGAAGGGAAACTACCATGGATTACAGTAAGGCGCACATTACAGTATTGGTTTATGGTAAAAAAAATCTGAGGGTTTAATGTCACTTTAACAACAATGTTTCTTATTTGTGTATCACTTGGCTGAAGATCCTCCAATCATCTCTGACACTGTCCTTCCTTCTGGAGGGGGGGGGGGCGTGTAGGCCGTTTGT